AGATAGATAGATAGATAGATAGATAGATAGATAGATAGATAGATAGAGAGAGAGAGAGAGAGATAGATAGATAGGTAGGTAGATAGATGGATAGATAGAGATAGATAGATAGATAGATAGACAATAGATAAATTCGATATACTACTCACTCATCACGTCGCCTTTTTGCTCGCAGCCCTCGCCGAATCCAGTCAGCCTGGGTCCACGGCCCAACGATCTACACACACAGGTGCCAAAGTCAAGGCCTCTGAGTGAGAAAGACGCAGAGTTGATAAGAAAGAGAAGAATAAAGAAAGTGTTTGGATCATTAAAAGAACCCTTCTAAAGGAAAAAGACCGTGTTTTGGATTGAGCCAGAACATGACTCACTCAAGTCCAGGCATGTGCATCGATAGGCGCACAATCCTCACTCCTTTGCTAGCCCAAGCTACTCCTGCTGCACCTCCCCTTCTGCGATCTTCTGCGCCGCGGGATCAAACGTCCGCGTCCCGGATAAGACGTGCCCGTTCACTCTTCCAAATCAACGAAGGCCGCTTCTTGACGTGCCGCAGTATGCATTGCAAACTTCAAACGCGAATGTAACAAACACATACATGCTTCTTTTCAAATGCGCGCCGCGCGCGCGCGGCGACGCTCACTATGGAGAAGGTCTTCCTGCGCGTGCGCGGCGCGCGCGCACGTGGTATCCCACCACTCGAACTCAGACGGTATTTTCCCTTCGCTAACGCTGATGTCGCCTTCCAACTTCCATAAGACGCATGCCCTCCTGCGTGTGACAAACACATGCCATTGCCTTGTGAGTGATGATGATCTAATTACACCAACATACACAACGTATCGCATTTCTCTTTCACTACTTCTTTCATACCAAACTTATCCCAAAGCCGCCCGGCTTGCTTCTCTGCTCCCTCAATCACCATTACATATGCCACCCGCATCCGCGGCACCGCTGCCCCGCAAGCTGCCGACCATGTGTCTTGTGCCGCGACGCCCGCCAGAAAAAGAGACACTCGTCTGGCGGCTGCTGGTTTTCGTCCCCCTTGTCAGGTATAATGTTGTTCTAGTGAAGAATGAAGATGGGATTGAACAGAACATTGATTCAGCAGCTGGCTTGATGACACTCGAATCAGTTAAATGTATTCAATCCAATAGAATTGGCCAGGATGATGAAGTAGCTCCACCTGTGTCGCATTTGGATCTGCAGAGGCCAGGAGCAGCTTCAGAAGTTTTATTCAACTCAGGCTAAAGAGGCTTTGTCAGGCTTTGCAGCTTCGTTTCTTTTGCGCCACGGGGAGGTACATCCGCCTTGCTCGGACCTTCAAGCCAAAGATCTCGCCAGAGGGATCTGCACTCTTGGTGAAGTGTTACAAGAAGCTGCGTGAGGACACCACCTCAACCCCATAGTGACTGGGGATGCAATGCTCCTATTGACTGGAAACTTGCCGCAGGTGGGTGAGAAAGCCTCCAATACTACCCTGAAACAGTTTCCAACATTTTCTTGGATCCTTTTCATGGCTGAGCCATGTCCATGTCTGAGTTTTTTAAAGCATTTGACCCTTTGATTACATTTTCCACAGGGCCCATGGGTAGGATCTAAAGAAAGACTCCCTGTCAACCTTTACCAGCAAATGCACACCGAGACATGGCCGCAGGACCGGAGCTACACACGTGGTGGAGCCGGAGTGACGGTTCGTCAGCTTGAGAGCCTCATCAGGTGAGAACTGGGAAGACAGGTGAAGACAGTTTCTTCAGAATGCATGGCCTTTGTTTCATTTGACCCACAAAAGTGAAAGTGCTCCAAAGATTAAGAGAATCCCGGTGAAGCCCACAAGAAGTTCAGCATGAAGGTACATAATCATTTTGGGACTCCACTTGAACGCCTTGAAGATAGTCGCCCCGTCTTGTGTTGACCTTCAGGCATAATCTTTTGTCAAAGGCCAGAGCCGACAAGATTTAAGAAGCAAAGAAGCAGAGAGAAAGTTCCATCAAAAGATTTTTCTCCCGCAGGCTTTCAGAAGCAATCGCCCGCGTGTACCTGAGTGAGTGGGTGAGGTCCGCTGCAGCCTGGACTTTTTCCTTCTTCCGGTGGGTGGGTCAAATCCACCTCAAAAAGAACACGTTCCCAAAGTCTTTAGAAAGGCAGCTTGAACGACTTGTGGTGATTCTGAATCTTCAACACATTGTGCTTGTATTTGGAATCAACTCTTCATTTGTTCAAACATGTTGTAATGCTTATCCCCTCAAGATCCGGAAAGTGCTTGACACAAACAATGAGAGCAAGACGTGATTCTTGGATTTATTGTGTCAAACGATTGTCCCAACATAAGCCTGATCAAGCTTATCTAACCGTTCACAAGGCTCAAAAAGAGGAAGGCTCACTCGCCTGTTTCAGAAGCCGCTCGACTGGAGAGTTGGGTTCAGTTGCAGGCCGGAGCATGTGAAGGAGGCCTTCGAACTTCAGGTTGGATTGTACCGCGGTTATCGTGACGCAAGATTAGTCCATTGTCCCTATATTTTGGGTGTCAACACCGACATAGATTAGCAGGGTAATTCGAGGCCATATGTGGAACGTGCTGTTTGACACCCACGGACCATGGTGTCTTCCGCTATGTACTCCGAACCTACACTGACACAACTCAACTCCGTTCAGATTGACGCCCCGCCAGATCTCCTCCCTTCGGCAATCAGAGCGTGCCTCGGTGCCAAAGAAGTGCCTTAAATGTTCCGTCACAGTAGCTATATAGAAGCTACTAGCAACAAGGGCATCGCTACTAGTAACAAGGGAACTACTACTACTACTACTACTACTACTACTACTACTACTACTAGTAACAAGAAGCTACTAGTAACAAGGGAGTCCTGTGTGGTAACTTTTCGCAATTTGATCAGGTTCGTAGACCCGATTTGCTCCATGCATGTGGCTCATTTAGATTCATTTGCGAGTTCTGCAGCTTCAACATCAATCTGGCGAACCATTTTCCAATTTCACTTCGGAAGGACATTCCTGTCCAGGTAACTCTGATGGCTAAAGCAGCTAGAATAAGAGGATGGCTACGGCTACTCATCGTTGACTTCGTGGGGCCCGTGGGACGAGTCTCCGAGGTGAGAGCATCGATTTGGGTGCTGAAGACCTGGCGCCCACTAAGCGTGGCCGCGAGGACGAGGAGGAGCCGAGAGCCTGAGACGAGAACACATATTTATGTCTATCTTGCAATCGCCCCATATATTGACAGGTGAATAGGGTCCCTCTTCCTCTACGACTCTACAATCTGCAGGTTTTTGAAGCTACTAGACAGGCCAGGTCAGGTTGCGTTGAAGTTGGACTAGAGTTTGAGCTGGACTTTTATCCAACGGAAGATTGAGTGAAGAACATGAGTGCTTTTGATTTCCACAGATGTTCGACCAACAAGACCCTGAGAACTTGGATGAAGAACTCAAGCCTTTAGTAACAGCCTGGTCACATCTGGGCTTTTCTTGGACCTAGGTTGGGTGGAGAGGATTGGAGGTGAGGGTGAATGGCTTTTATGAGATTATTTTCTAATTGCAAAAGCAATTAATTAACCTCCAATCCAGTTCTTACACTTCAGGACATAGAGATTGTTAGCTTATGTTCAAGGTTTTCTTCCTTTTACATAGGTCTAGCCTAAATAGAACTTCCATGTTACATGAACAAAAAAAGTAGGTTTGATTTTGTATGTTCAACCTCAATCTGCAGGAAGCGGAGAGAAAGGCAGTGAAGCGCGTTCGCATTACACACCCTGAATATATGCGAATGGGTACGGAGCCCATCATTGACTGTCCTATGAGAGGGACCCTAGAGGAAATGAGGGGAAATCGAAAAGGCAGGGTTCCAAAGTTGTGAGATCAAGAGAACAGTGAGGTTTGATTGCTTGTATTCTCGGGCGAGAAAGTAACAATGCTCGGAGCTCAGTTAGTGAGGTCAGATGCTTCTGAGACACCTCGTGGACCAAGCGGCTGCAGGGCAGGTGGTGACTGAGGGTGATCTTATCACCTGGTGACCTGGCGGTTCTTGTAGACATCACCTCATAGCGATGGCATCCAACCTACTAGCGATGGCCTCCAACCTAAAAGCAAACAAAATACACCACCTATATTAAGAATGGATCATGTGTCACACTCTGTCGTGGCTGACAGTGAGCGAGGTACATGGAACAAGTTGAGCCAGAGCTAGTCACTGAGGAGCGCCTGTAGTTGTCCTGCGTTGTTTTGAATTGGTTTGGAAAAACATTGAGAAACATACTGAGGGTTGACTGACTTGCAGAGTGAGGAATGGCTTTTTGACCTTTGCCTTCGATTCCAAACTCCGAAATGCACTCGTGACACAGAGACTGGAAGCCCCGATTAGTCCTGGTCCTTAAAAGGTCTTAAAGGTCTTGTTCTGTGAGGAGCAGCTCTTCCAACGGCAGCATTTGGTGCAGCTGGTGGTCCGGGCCTTGTGCGAGTGGGTAAACAAACGCAAACGCTTTATGCACTTTCACTGCCAGCCTGGTTGCGAAAGCATTTATATATATGCGAACCATCATTCTTCCAGCATTCTGCAATGGTGGGTTTCCGGAATTTGTTGAAGGGCTTTAGGCTTCAGGAGTGGGAACTTGTCAGGTCAAAGTTATATCACAATCAAAGCATGTCTTTACGCAAGGTGAGCCGAATGATCGACAAGGATCGAGTGATCTTGGTGACGGAGCCGGCCAAGGAGGGGGTTTTCGAGGGGTTAAAGTCTGAGTGTTGCCTTTCGCAGTGCATTGCACTGGCTAATTTGTCTCTAGAGTAGATGACAGTGCTAATAGGTGGCCCTTGGAGCATTGGGTTTTGGAGCATGTTGGTCTTGGTTCTTTGAGCCGTGGTGCGGTACGGCCAGGATCCCTTGCAGCCTGAAGGCCGTGTGCTGGAGAAGCATCCCAATGTGCCTGTGGACAGCCTGGATAGAATATAGGCAGATGAGGACAGGACTGTGGGAAACGGGCAGAAACAGGTGCAAAGACCTACAGTACTCCGTGAGAGATGAGAGAGGATTTTGGTGTGGAAGAAGGATTGCCGTGCAAGCATTTGGTATGGACATGAGGAGCAGCACTTCATTCGTTAGTAGTTTGTTTTGACAAAGAAAGTTGGGGCTGCTGACTGCATCACACTTGGATTGTCAAAATTCCCCTGCATGCTGCTTGACTGACCAAGCCCACCTTGGCCGCCAGGGACTGGTGACAGACAGGCTGATCTGAACATCTCCAGGGGGGCAGAGTCTCAGAAATCTAGGCTTTGCGTTGGGGGACAGATGAAAGATCTGCAGAAGGCAGAAGGCTGTTCTGGGAAGTGAACAACTTCAATTCTTGACCACTTTCAGCTGCACATCATCTCTTTCAGATATGCTGTGATTTCAGCTGTGCAGCTTCCTGGCTTCCTGTCGCGCGGTGAGTGTTTTTTTTTGCTGCTGGGTCACCTGCAGCAGGATCGATCTGGGGATTGGCAAGTAAAGCCCATGCATATGTGGTATGAAGACGACCTCCAAGTGAAAAGTTGTTTCCAACTCATCCACTGGACGCCTGGACGCCAGAATGGGGGGGGCACTGCAGAAAGGCAGTGCACATATGCTGGCAGTCCATTTGCGAGGTGGTCCAAGCGTTGTTTTGTCCTGAAGTTAAAGCTTCATCAAAGTGGCACCGGTGTATAAAACTGAGCCGGCGAATCTTGCTCATCGATGTTCAGAAGTGCAGGATTCTCATGTCTAAATGTAAAGAGAGCTCGAATTACAAGCCTCTTCATTGTGAGCTCTGTTGCATGAGTCAACACAAATCATCAGAATGCTGATAAACATTTTGAGGAGCCTGCATTGGAGAATCAGGAGGCATGAGGGCAAGCTTACCTTTCTGAACGTGCGCTAGTTGCTGAGCCATTTTGTCAACGTAACCGCTCGCAAGAGATGGTAACCAAGAAACTCATGGTGGTATCAAGAAACGTGGCAAGGCATGTAAGGCCACGTGCAGATCAGATCTTCAAACCTGTTGAGTCCATATCATTCAGCTCCAAAATACAAAGCTGTCTCAGAGGAGTCGAGGAGATCCTCCGAGAGATGATATTGATCGGGCTCTCTAAGGATTAATCAACGGCAGGTGACCATGTGGAGATCAGTCTGGAAGCGACCTACCCCCAATCCCCAAGGGCCCCACGTTCTTTTTGAGACTTCGATTTCTTTTTGTCTTAGCCTTGCACTTGAAAAGAAAGCAAGATTGAAATGCCACACACGGCTGAGCCAAACTGCGAATTTTTGGTCGCCAGGGTTCCACAACTGGAAGAAGACTCAAACTGGTCGAAGGGAGTCTGGTTGGCTCCTGCCAGGATTGCGCGTCTACTCCTCATCCATCGTCGTTGCCTGAAAAGCTTCAAAGCTGTCCACAACCTGCCACTCGAGTCGCCGAGTCCTGGCAACCAAAGAAATCAACGCTATTCTGGTCCATTGGATGACGTTGTATTTCTTGGCCGATTCAACCGAAGGTTCAGGACCGTTAGCAAAAACAAGGATAAATACTGTACAGCCAAGCGCCAAGGTCGTCCTCGCGTTCTGTGCCTCCTTCCGCCTCGGCTTCGGCAGAGGCCTTGGAAGCTTTGCAAGTCTTCTCACCGCCTTACCTACCTTGCTTTTGAGAGGTTCAAGTTTGGTGCCACGTTCAACTCGCTAGTAATGATCCCAAGGCCGACCAGCACAAATTTAATTTGGAGACTATCAAGTCTCTCAAGCTTCCTTTGGAGAGAAGGGTGCACCAAAAAGTTTGTGTCAAGTTGTGTTCGCTCAGTATGTTCGAACACGCTCAGTTTCGGCCCAAGCAGTTTCGACAGGAGATGGGCCAAACAGTTGGAGACCATCACAACCATTTCGAGCCTGGAGAATACGTTCTAAGACAGGCTAAGGACAAGAATCGACAAGAATCGTCCGTGCCAGGCTCAAAGAGAAGCGAACGACGTTTGACAACTGCAGCCTGCAAAATTGATTGATGTTCCAATCATTTCCGGACAAAGCGCAAACCAGTTTCCTTTCAGAGTGTCCTCAATCTTTCAAAACGCTTGACCCTCTAATAGAGTCTAAAGATCCAACGACCTTGCAAACATTTGCACACCATACATTTGTGTTGTATACAACACTATACAACCTGATCCTGATTCCTCTGACTCCTCGACAGGGTGCCCTTCCTGCCATGAAGGGCCCGAGCTTGGCGGAGGTCACGGGTGCCAAGCTTCGAGAGGCTTTGCGCCTGGTGCGGCTGAAGCGGAGCTATGACGCAGAGACCGTGGCCGGCGATGCCAAGGCGAAGATGGCGAAGGGATGCGGCGGGTGTTTTGGCCGTGAAGGGTTTGCCCCAAAAGCTCATCGGAGAACGTACCCAGGTTCATCCCAGGATCAGTTGCTTGTTCTTGTTTGTGTCCGATTTCTAGGTGAAACTATTCGTCCATTGATCCATGATTACATGACGGCCTCAGCTGTTCGTGATACGCTGCGGTTTTTGTTGCCAGGCTCTCTTTGAACGCTTGGACGACAAATCCGGAATGACCAGCGCCAGTTATTTCTTGGTTGAAGCCGCTCTGCTGGAAGAGAGGATCAGCGATGCTCGGCGACTGGTTGAAGAAGGCCAGGCCCTGGCCAAAGGCACGAAAGTTGATGAAGCAAGGACTGGGCTTGTTAGCAAAATGATGCAAAATGCACAATACGTACTGTATGTTTGCAACAGAACAAAGATGAACAAAGTACAATTTTTGCAAGTTTCTGTTGATGTTGGACATTCCGAGCCAGCTGGACAGTCTCTTGTCATTTCGTATCTTTGACCTCCAGCCATTTCATGAGAGGATGCTCCGTGCCTCAATGTTGGTGAAGCTGGCGGAAGGGAAACCTTTGGACGCCCTACAGATCGCTGCCACTGCTGAACGGCTGCTGCTGGAAGTGGGGACAAACCACCGGGAGGCTGGAGAGCTATTGCTGCTGGTGGCCAAGGCACATGTCTCGCAAGGCCAGGCCCCAGCCGCCCCAGCCCCCCCAGCCGCCCGAGGCCTTTTCTTTCTTTTCTATGCTTTTCTTAATTTATCTTCCATCCTTTCTCCCTTTCGTGCGCATTTATTTTATCCTTTCTTCCTCTTTTCAGTGCTTTTGTTCATCCAACGGCATATCCCCCAACACAAGGAAACTTTGAGCTGCCCAGGGGTCAAGGGACTTCGTTGTACCATGTTGTATTGTATCTAAGGCCTAAGGTAAAGGTAGTGCGCGTAGCCAGAACGTATGGCATAGCCATGGTGAGTGCTTGGGACGTTGATGCCCTACTCAAACACTTTAGAACGGGTCAACCCTGTTTGTAGGTACCACTGCCGCGCAGCAAGCAGCCTTGAATGCGGCACTCCAGGCAGTGGACCAATTTAGCAAAGCGGAAGATGCCCGCGAGGCTGACGCTTGGAGACTCGTTTTGGAGGCACGGGTGGCCTTGCGCAGGTTTGATGATGGGCTGCGTGCTGCGGAGGCTGCGATGGTGATTTGCTTGGAATATGGCGATGAGACGGGTCAGGTGCGTGGGCCCCCCCGCTTCCAATCAATCAAACCATGGAATTCGAAAGGACCAAGGTGTGTTGAAATACAGCAGAGCGTTCCAAAGAATCCACCCTGAGTCAGGCCTTGTGTTTGCTGAGCTTGGCCAAGGCACACAAGATCCGCGGCCTGCCATTGAAGACCAAAAAGGCATCCGAAAAAGCCTTGAGCCTCTTCCAGGAGCAGAGTAGCGATGTCTTGGCGGCCGAGGCCTTGCATTTGTTGGTAGAAGCTTTGATCGGCCAAGAACAGCGGAAGGAGGCGCTGCAGAGAGCCAAGCAGGAGCAGACTCTTGGGTAGTTGACCAAAGTGACCACATAAGCTTTGCGGGGCAAGTGGGGAGGGAGTTGGGCTGGGTAATTCATGAGGCTGGCTTAAGCTGTGAGGAGCTCTACTCCTTTTTGAGCTCCGGCGACAAGTGGGCAGTTCCGTCGATGCGGCTCTGCTTGGTGACGGCGCTCTTGGGTATGGACCGCAAGAAGGATGCCCTGAGCGAGACGGAACGGGCTTTGCAAGATGCAGAAGAGCTTACAAAGAATGTCAAGGTCTCTATGATGAAAGCGCAGGTGATGAAGCAGCTGGCCATTTGCAACATGCTCACAGGTGCGGATCGGATCAAATCCCTTGAGATCCCTTGAGCTGGCTTTGGGATTTCCACCATCAAAGTCCAGTAGCTGACGGGGACCTCAGGCTAGGCAGGCTAGGCAGGCTAGGCAGCGTTGCTAAGAGTCCCCAAACCTCTCTTTTGTGATGGTCAGGGAGCGTGGATAAAGCCAAAGCGCTGGCAGATCAGATCTTGCCCATGTGCCGAGAGCTGGGGGACATTGAAGGTGAAGATAGCATGAACGAACTCATCGGCCTGGTTGTTCAACAGCGAGGTGCCCTAGAGGAACATGCTGCCAAAGAGAGGGAGGCCGAAGAGCTGATTTTGCAGCTGAAGGAAGCGATGTTGGCAAGAGATGGACCAACTTTCAAGGCAGAACCTGCAAGAGAGCCGACAACCGTCAGGGAACTTCTTGTTGCGGGCCCATGGTTGTTTGATTCCAGCTAGAACCATAGAACCGTTGGAGATACTGGCCATGTTGTTCTGGTCATATGCCAATCTCTACTCAACTCAATTCACTTCATATGTCTTCATATCATATACAATCATATACATATATTAAAAGTATAGTTTATATATATATACACAATGTCCAATCCCATTGCTGCATTTTCCTTTTGGTGTGTTTTCTACAGTTTTTCGAGGCGGTTTTGGAGAAATGCTATGAGAATGAGAATGTCTTCACTGAGAATGTCGAAGAGATCATCTCGCCAGTCATTGCCACAGATCCTGATGGTCTCTATCAGTTCTTCTTGGACAATCAGCCTGAAAAATGGAAGGTGAATCCTGATGAAGATCAGAAGTTTGACAGCGCCCAGCAGTTTGATAGACGCTTGATGTACTATGCTTTCAGACTTGGTGCAATGGGCTACGGACCTGGCTTCCGCCTCATCAAGACAGCATACAGACTAGGCCAGAACTTGGAAAACACACAGGGCTATGGCACCCTGAACTTGATGGACAATTGTCCACCCTGGGAAGAACGCTCCCAGTTCCATCCTGGGGTTTTAGATTGTGTTCTTCAGGTGGGTGCGGTCAGAGGTACGCCCAACGAGTATCAGTACAGCAGTGTGATCAAGTGATCGCAATTTCAATCGAGATGCTCGAGCTGCTTCTTCCAGAATCATCAGCACTTACGACACATCAGACCAAACATGTCAGTGTCTTCTGTCACCGAGAAATTAGATGAGGTGACTGGTTGCAAAAGACCGCAGCAAAGAGAGATAGAGAGAGAGAGAGAGATGTGGAACATGCAAGTGATAAAAGCCAATCTTTAAATCACTTGATCTGTCACTTGTCCTAGCTTGTGTTGCTGGCGTTGCTTGCAAGTGCATCCTCCGCCACGCGAAAAGACCTGTGTGTTAGACATTACTCTAGCTAGGGAGTATTTGTCTGAGGGGCCAGTCGCTTGTGACATCAGAAGCTTCTTGCAGCGTTGGCTCTATCAGTTTTCCGAGGATCAAGGCGACTCAAGTGCAGCTTCTGGGCAAATCGGGTCAAGACAAACTAATGGTCAACAAAGCGCTGAAAGAATAATAAAGGACTCAACTAGAGACACTTCTTAAAGACCTTGCAACTCACAAGTCTACGATGACAAGGAAGGCGATGACAAGGTGCCCGCTTACTTGGAGACTTGGAGATAGAATATGACAGAAGTGTCTTGCGCAAACTTCCTCACACTTTTCTTAGCCAAATAGCATCAAACAGCCAAAGACAATACATGCATTTATATACTGGACACAATAGAACGAAGGTTGTACTGTATGCAATGCACCTGCTATGGCTGTCCCTGGCAACTGCCTTTGCAAACCCGACAAATACAAGGTGCAATCGGGCAAATCGAAGGATTTGGACCCTGAAGATCTCAAGAGTTAGGCTTCAGCTCCAGAATTTGCGAAGCATCCTTTTTGTTCTTGTACTGGTAGCGTGGGCGTATTGAAGCAATTGTTTTGGAATGTTTTGGATACAATATTTTTGCTAAGTGCTTACAGTAGCTCTCCAGATAATTCGTTGGACCCTTGAGACATCTGACATGCCAGTTGGGAACTTCAACCTGCAAGTGACTTTGGGGTCCAGACTCATGTGTCTTACTGACGGATCAAACAAGGGGAAGGACGCATTTCAAATTTGCGTCGTCTTCATCACATGAGCCAAATGATGCCACATGAGCCATCCGACTTCGCTTATTTCGTTTTCGTGCGTGTCGCTCACAACTCTGTCGGATCCGAGGTGGTGTCCCAGTGGCTACGTTTGGAACAGCACCATCTGCGAGCCATGCCCTGCAGGAATGTCGGGCAATTGGACCGATGGCTTGCCTCTTGCTGAGCAAATGTTTCGTCACACTGGGGGTTGTCCTGGAGAGCAAAGCCACCCGCATCTCAGGGCATTCTGGAGAGATACGAACGCATGGCATGGCAATTCCGGAGCATAATTCTGCACAATACAGTGGAGGTCTCCTCAGAACAGGCACTCTGCGAACCTCAAAGTGCTGATTTCGTGGCAGGCACAATGCTGCGCTCATGAATATATTATGGAGATGTCCGCGCGCGCGTGCTGACGTGCTGTCATGCGTGCTCTGATATGTTTGCTCTCATGTGTACCCAAATGCGTGTGCTCATGTGTGCTCTCACAAGTGTGCTCTCACATGTGTGCTCTCACATGTGTGCTCTCATGTGCATGCTCTCACATGACCCATATGCCGTAATATCATATGGGTCTCTCATGCGTGTGCTCATAGGTGTGCTCTCGTCTGTGTGCTCTCATATGAGTGTGTGTGTGCTCTCATGTGTGCGCTCCCATATGTGTGTGCTCTCATATGTGCGCTTTCGTGTCTTTTTAGTGTGTGTGTGTGTATTTGGGGCCTTTTGCCAGGATAAAGCAAACGTGGGATGCAACATCTTGTACACTTTGTCTGCAGTTTGCTGCCACCTCTCCTGCAACACTTGTTGTTTGCGGCAAGGAACAACACGAAAGTGGGTTACAGGTGATGTGGTCATGGCGCGACCCTGTCACGGATCTTCTAGTCACCCGTTCCGCCCTAGCTGGGCAACACTTTTCAGTCTTGAAAACCATTGGTGGCAGAAATCGACAATAAAACTGCACTTCCTCATCGACCTTGCACAGAAGAACATACCAAAAGACCTACCCCCAAGCAAAGGTTAAGTGTAGCAGGTGTTCAATTAATGAAGGGTCAATCTGGCAGCAAAAAGGCACAGCGTCTTCAACAATGAGCAGCAAGCAAAGAATAATTGAACCACGTCTTCTGGCTAAAACTATGTGCTCTTCACTCAAGCCAAGCTTCATCCTGAAGAGTCAAGAGTCCGAGTTCGAGGTTTTCTGTTTGGAAGGATTTTGGAGATATAGTTGAGGCACTCTACAGAATCAGACTCCATTATCCACATTTAAAGATCGAGGAACCCGGGGCTCCAGTATTCTGATGGTCAACCATTGACATTACTGGAACTCCTTCTTTCTGAGGAAGTGTGCCAAGGGATTCCATTCCCTCTCCAGCACAACGCATAGAATGGGATCCATCCATGTGTCTGTCAAAGCATCCCACCACCATCTCATCCCGAGTTGGCACTATGATCTCAATAGGGCATCACATCGATGTGTCCATGGTGCCCACCCCAAAAAAAAGACCCACGACCTCTCGCAACCAAAGTGAGAATCATACCGCTAGACCAATGACCCACATAATCCCACATATTTTAGTATAGAGGGTTGCTGCACAACGCTGGGCACATCACGCTCTCTTCTCTTGTTTTGACATAGCGCCCGTTCCGAGGGTATGCGTGGATTGTCCCCTGGGCGAGTACACCCCGATGGATGGCATGATGCAATGCATCGGCTGCCCGAGAGGCAAGGATGTCTTCATGTCCGGTTGGAAACGAAGATGTCTAGCTGAAGGGCAAAGAAACTCCAGAATCAATCGACTACGACTACGACTACTACTACTACTACTCCTACTGCTACTGCTACTGCTACTCATACTCCTACTACTACTACTACTGCTGCTACTACTACTCCTGCTGCATGTTTATTTCCTTCCCCCCCGATGAGCACCTCCACATCTGCTCACCTCTTGGATGGGAAGGATGTATATATATATAATATATGAAAAATAGTTGTAAACGCCATCAAGGACATTGAAGGGAGACGATACCCTTCGATTGCACACGCACAGATGTTTGTTGGCTTGGCCGCTGGCTATTCCAATTTCTCTAGGCATGCAGCACAAGAGGCTAAGACTGTTGGTGCCGGTGTATGAAAGAAGTCTATTCCCACTGTATTGGCCCTCTGTGGCATGTATCACTTTTCAATCTTGCCAGAGGCTCAGTGCGTTCGTTGATCAGGGCGAATTGTTATCTCAAGAGTGAGGAATCTCTCACATCACAGGGCTTCATTGTGTGGGCAAACCTACTTGAGCACAGGAACATACAACTGCCGATCATTGCCCCGGTTTCGCTCAGAAACCACACGTGCCAGTTGTGCCACGTCTCCAGGCAGATTCACGGATGGCGTTGGCTTCTCCGAGTGCACAGCGTGCCCCATGGGTCGCTTTAGCAGTCGCTTAGTCAAGGAAGAGCTTTTTAATGTGAACCAGGCAGTCGCTTGGGTTTCCTTCGTTTCCTAATGCTATGGTTTCTTTGGCCTTTCTATGAACAAATCAGGGGTTATGCTTTCTTGGGTCCCAGCCTTTTGGCACTTCTTCCTGAGTTTATGCTTCTGATCTTGGATCCGGCTGCTACCAGGCTAGGCTTGTTAAGGCTGCAATAGTGCAATCATGAGTGAGTGGGCACAACAAATAACCATGGCAGGAATCCAAATAACTTGTAACACGGGGTATGAAGGAATCAGGAAACCCAGAGAGGGAGACAAAACATGATTGAAACGAAAGGAACTACGGATAACCTGCAGATGAAGACACATCCCCTGAGATGCAGAGATTTCTTTTGCACAACTTCACTGAGAACAATTTAATCTTGGCATTCTGGTTAAACTACTTTTCATCCAAAAGGAACTGCCTGATAAAACCTGAGGCTCTGATTCCCAGTCAGCCTGTGAAGCGTGTGCTCCGGGGAAGTACATGCTGAGCACGCAAAGCTCCGAGTGTCTGCAATGTGAGCGTGGAAAATTCAGTGACTTGGACATAGGACTGGGAACCAACCAAAGTCAGGAAGTATAGGCGAGAGTGGCAAGTAGGGCCTTTACAAGGGTCATTTACATAGCTTTGGCTTAACTTGGTCTGACACAGACTGCATGTTTTGCTGTCTCATGGCATTGCAGATGAGGCAATGTCACAGCTGCACTCTCTTGCGAGATGTGCGACCCGGGATTTTTCAGCGATGTGAATAGCACAGAGTGTGAAGCGTGCCCAGAGGGTCACGAATCAGAGACTTGGAAGCATTTTTTGTGTTCAGATTTCCTTGGGCGGGGTTGGCAAGAGGGCAAGAGGTCAGGCACCAGTGCAGGCATCCTTGAGGATATCCTCGCATATATATATATATATTATATACATATGTATATAATATGAAATTGGTTTTGTTCCTAGATGTTTGGTCCGTCTTGCTGTTGTGAAACCATTCTCTTCCAACATCGTGTCCTTCATTGCCAAAAAGCATTGGAGCTTGCCCAGTGGAACCTGCTAACGTGTTTGGTGCATAGTGAGAGAAGCGGCTACAGAAGGGTTAGCAAACATGCTGTCTCGCCTTAGGAATTTCCTGGCTCTGTGAGCTGCTCCAAGTGCGAGGCGGGCCGTTTCAACCCACGTGCAGGTGGCCGTCTCTTGGCTCCAGCTCTTTTTTCCGGGGGGGATCTGATTTTCATGCGTTTCTTGGATGGACTGTGCACTTTGACAGCCCAACCCTTCCAGCACCGCTTTGCTTGTGTCCATCACCAGGAAAGTACCCGGCAACGGTTGGATTTGCAGGAGTCTGGAAACCGAAATTACCTGCTTGCCTATTAGCCTATGAGCTCTGCCTGAGGGATATCCCCAGCTCTTGTAAAACTTATTCTTTTTGCTCGACTCGTGTAGTACCTTGGACTTGCTTAGGCCGTACAGGGGGCCAGCGGAGTTTGGCCGAATTGCACCTACATGCACCTCACCCCTCATACCTGCGGGATCATTTCACTGTGTGATACCCCTGCAGTCCTGGTGGGTATAGAAACTTTCAACGTGTTTTTCATGCTCCAAAAGTGTCCTCCTGAATTGGAGAAAGCGCAGAAAAAGTGGACTTGGAAGGGATGCTGGATGGCGGGACCAAAAAGGTTCTTGGGCTGGCGGGGCCCTTGACGGGTTAGCGGGGTTTGTTTTCTCTCCTTTGGTCTTGCGGGGAGGAAACGGACTCCTATTGCAAGTCTTGCCTTTGTTTTGACTGCGCATTGAAAACACTACCTGGTCAGTTTTGTCCTACGTGTGGTCAAAACGACGCCAGTGTCATGTTTCAACAGTGTCTGGCTCACGTTCGACCCTTCCCCCTGTCGAGGATGGGGGGAACCAAACGGGTCCTGACTTTGTAACAAGGCTCAACTCAAGGCTCGGGGGTGGTGACAAACTGTGCCTCAAGGTCTGGTGATCATGGGGACAGGGAGTTGACGGACTGATGATGGACCTGGTGAATTTAATATATGTATACGCATGTACGTATAGAGCTCTTCTCGTTGCTCAGGCTGCATGCAGTGCCCTCTTGGGACGATTGCCAATGAATCTGGCCTCGCGAGCTGCCAGGTCATGCATGATGACGCAGTTTGGACACTTTTTGTTGGGCCGACAGTGGTCCATATTGCCCGTATGTCATTGGTTCATTGGTTGTCAGGTGTGCAACCTGAGCTTGATATGGCCGCTTACCTCTGATGTCGAGCGGGTCTATTGCGTCACGGAAGGTTGGGTCTTCGTTGGTTGCCTATGCATCTTTGCTCAAAAGGCATCATCAAGCACTTTCTAAAGCGTAACCATGTGGAAGGTGTTCCAAGATTCTACATGTCCATCCGAAGCGGAACACATGATTGTTTCGCATTAGTGATTTCGAATATGGTGTGCAAGAAATGAATGGACCCAAACACACAGGGTTTTGCGAACATTCGCTCTTGGAACCGTGTTTGGTCCAAGGCATTATGGCTGGATGCAGTTTTTTCCTGATTCTTTTGCCGTATGCTTTTCGATATCGGGCGGAGATTGAAGACATCACTCTGGACCGTGCAGATGGCCGGTGTCGAGTGATTATCCGATGCTTGGATACCAAAGTCACTCAAATGTCTAGAGTAGCTTATTGTTTCTAATAGCGAACCTTGTTACTACTAGCGTGGCACCTGTTACCACTAGCGAGGCACTTGTTTCTACTAGCGAACATGTTTTGGTTTACTCCAAAGAGTGGTGCGAACATGTTATTCACCTGGAATGTAGATGTGCCGATGCTTGGCGAAGCTGTGACTTCTGAAGTATTCGGTTTGGAATTTGCTTTAATGAGACACATGAACCTCACTGGTACTTCTTACACTTTGCAGGGTTTCCATTCGTGGTTGCTGAGGAACTCATGGTAGGCACTGGCTTCCCCACCGATCAGTGAGGAGCTTCTTCCATGACTCCTTTGCTAGATTCCGAGCCATGGCTGCCGAGTTTAGAGTTTCTTCTGGGTTCTCCAGCCTAACTTGGAGTTCGGGCTGTGGGTCTGGCGCGTTGCATGTTTCAAAAGACAACCTGCGTCGTGGATGATGCGAAGACAAGCAGGTCGTTTCTTGACTTCACCAGATTGTGATACTCTATACATTGTGCAACAGACAATGGACTTGCACAACCTATATAAACTGGTTGCCAAGCAACTGTTGCAACAGGAATTCCACCAGGCTTGAGGTTTGAACGGGCAGGAGTCTCCTAAATGTTCTTTCATCATTGATCCCGGCTGGGTGCACTGCACGCAGAATAGCACACAGGAAACCCGATTCAAGAGGCAAAATGCAATTGCTTCGAGTCCAGGATCTTAGGCTGAAGTCGCATGCTATGCAACAGCTTTCTGGTGCAAACATGCTGCCCCGCAAAGCTACCTCTTTTCAGAGTTTCTCCTCTCAGGGGCAAAGTCCAGCTCTGGGACCTTTGTCATCAGTGGTGCCATGAACGCTTCTTCATCAGGACGGGGAGCCTGCCGGAATGGTGATCTTTCTGCTGTAGCTTCAGAGATGTCCACCCGTCCCCGCCATAAACAAAGCAAGATCCGTGCAAACAGTGGGGAGTTTTACTGTTTTGTTTGACTGCGGACCCACGGGAAGGGACATGGGAGCGCGGGCTACGGCGACTGCCATCGACATTGCCAGGGCGACATGCCCCAGCTGTCTTCTTCGACACTGGCCATCCCTTCCTGGACGCCCCAAGCGCCAACGAGGAGTAGCATGGATATCATGTCGGTGGGTGTTCTTCAACCATCAAAGTCTAGGTTTATCCCTTTGTGTTTTTCCAGCCACCAAGCCATTGCTACAGACATCTGAGGGGTCTCGCAGGAGGAGGGGTGGATCCTGACAGAAGCAGCAGCTATCGAGGTGAGGGTGGCATTTGCCGTTGAGAGAGGGACGCACACACACACAAAACAGGAATGACAACACAACATTGAGCACTGCTGGACTTGTAGGTTAGTTTATTACAAGCTTTTCGGATTGAATTGCAGAATCTAGTGCTTGGGTTGACAGGGCAACTGGAACGACTTGCTTACCGCTGAGAATTGGTAGTTATTGCCAATACACAGCAAACATCCAAACTCAACTATGGACTTGCGAAACAAACTGGGGTTGTTGCTGTGAGGCTGAAGCGTCCGCCTTGTACTACTGGGCTGCAACTCGGGTTTATCATGGTTTATTTAGATCATGAGCCTGGGATGTGTGTGTGGCCTTTTCAGACCTCGAATGTACAAAAACAAGGCTGAAATACAACCACTACTCTCGCTCGAATGGACACTATATCATCTCTGGTCCCTGAAAAGAGGACATGTGTGACTCCCATCACTGCCCTTACAGTCATGTTTTTGGCTGTGCCTGAAAGCCGCTAAGAAGCCGTTGGAAAGAACCGAGTCGAAGCAGAGGATCCTTGGCGCAACGAAGCTGTTGGTTTACTGAGGGTGGAAAGATTATGACAGGTTTTTCCTTGTAGGATTTTGTAGGTGTGCCCATAACAAACGGACCAACAATGACAAACACACCAGTTCTCAAGTGGCCTGTTCTTCCTTCGGGTCATTGGTTCATGGCTCTGTGGGCCACTCCAAGTTTCACCTGTGAGTCTAGGTAGACCCCTTTCAAACTTGTCAAAGTCTCATGACTGGCAGCGAGCCTGGTGTCGCTTCAGTGAAGGCTTGGCCAGTTTGGTCTTGCCGATTGCACAATTGCCAATGTGATGATGATGCAATGTGACAATCACCTTCAATCCCTGAAACAGGCAATACTCTATGACTCTATGAGTTGGTTCTCAAGTTTCCGAGCAGAATCAACAGCCCAGCATGGGTGCACAAGCTCTCATCACCAACTCTCATCATAGTGTCCATGGTTTTCAAGATCGGATGCAAGGGCCATGCAGTAGTCATCAGTAGTCCGCGGTTTCCATCTCCGTAATCTTTAAACAGGGGTCTGTCTCATCGCTAAACCCGTCTCTGCGTGGCCTCCCGTTTGTTTTGCTGCCATTTTTGACCCAGGATCGCCGGACATCTGATTCAGCCGGTGACAACTCATCACCTCATCCTGCTGTGTCCGGACGGTCGAATCAGCTTGAGTGGCGATCACGTCAGATCCAAATAGAATGGATATTCGGTCTTGAGATGTCTTGAGAATTCTTGAGATGTGTTGCAGATGTGAGCGGGTTCAAGAAGTGCTGATACAACACATTTTGTCACGGGGCAGCCACTGTGGAGTGATCAGGGCCACTGTGAACTGGTGACGTCTACCTATTGGTTCTTTTTTGAACGACTGTGTCTCACTTGCTTGGCAGGATGGTCTACCCAGCACACGATCGATTGAGACGTCAAAGGGAGTTCTTCGAATTCCTTTTCCTCTGACTCTCATCATGGTCTCTATTCCAGGTGGGGAAATGGGGGAGCAACGAAGCGAGCCGAAATAGGACTAATATGATCAGGGCGCACTGAAAGCTTGACGTCAACTTGACATCACATTCGGCTGGTGTCAAACTTTGTATCAGGCAGCTTTGTATCCCTTGGTTGTTCCATGCTCCTCTCGGTGCTCTTGGCCCTTTTGCCCTTCCTGGTGATGATCTCTAGTCCAGAAGGTGCCAAGTGGGCAGCTTTGAGTCCAAGAGTGCATGACCGGACCAGAGCGAATCACGAACGACCAGACTGTCCAGACTGGCTGTGCGAAGCGGACGCACAGAGTTCTAAGTTCTTTCCTTTTTTTGTTGTAAATATGCAGAGTGCTTGTGACCATTGCACATTGCACCTGGCTGTTATTCTTGACTGTCGTTTGTATTCAGTTTGAGAGTGGCTTGTGCCAAGGTATATGGTTTGTCATCAGTGGTGTCTGTTTTGCTGCTTGGCTTGGTGTTATAGTAGAACACTGGACAGATTGTAGACCTTGGGCATGGCTGAGGATTGCCATTGGCTTCCACATGACGGCGGCCTCTCTCCAGCCGCTCACACCCACACAACGGAAATTGAGACGTCACATTAAGAACATGGCTGGTCTCTCGACTGAGATGAGATGACTCAAATGCAGATATTTTCGATGACATAGATGACACTAGTGAGCACCGGACATTCATGATGACGTTCACAAACTTGCTTGCCACACGGAACATCAGGCTGCAATCCGAACCCTATGTTGACAAGGAGGGAGAAAGGCCTGACTTGCAGATTCCGGATGTCATGGTAAGACTTAAAAGGCTGTGCTCCTAAGAGTCGAAACGTAACGAAATTGCTCAATGTAGACGGGCAGGGAAATCTTTGGTGTTCTTCATGTCATAAAGCAACATTTGGGCGAATGTTTAGTCTCGAGTTTGCAAAGCATTTTTGTTTGGAGAAAGCTTGCGCAGACTTCTTGACTTCATCGAGATTGATTAAAATGACTCAGGAGACTCAGTCTAACAGATTGAAGTTCCTCGAAAGAGAATTTCGCGGTGTTGATTCCATAGTAAACGGCTTCCTCCCCCTCCACCTCCACCACCTCCTCCTCCTCCTCCTCATCCTCTAGACCAGATGATTGGGACCATTGAAAGCGCTCTTTTTGTTTGCCCATTACTAGTGCTACACTGGGAGGAAAGCTAGAGATGCAACTGGGACACCCTGCGAAGGCATCCACAGCTTTTGGTTTAACGACCTAGCAAACCACATTTCTCCAAACACCGCGTTTAAGAACTTTTAAGCGTTTGCAAATACAAAAATGTCTTTTATTTGGTCGAAGAATTGTCAACAGATGTTAAAGGCAAACATTTGGCCACGGCATGTGATACTCTGACGCCTTAATCTCCATGTGCAGGTCCACACAGAGCAATCCGAGCTGGTCACCTGCTTGATCTTGCAACCACCTTTCATGATTGCAACCTGTTCCAAAAGACCTTGATCTGTTTTTGACTGCTGTGACTGGGTGTACACCAAGGGTGGAAGGTGTAAGGCATCCGCTGGGAGTTCGGGGTGCGCCACAGGCGGGAGTTTTTAAAGATGGTTACTCCCACCCTCGCGGCAGGAAAAGCTTGATTGAAGCGCCCTCGCTGTAAGAACGGGGACTTCAGCTTTGTGTTTGGGTGAGAAGATGTCATCCTGAAGTATCCTCTAGCAGGTTTGAGAACAATGTCACCTTGCAGGTCAGACAGACACACCTCTCGATGCGCCACATGTCTACACCACTGTGTGCAAAGCTTTCCGAAAAACTCTACGAGGGGATGTTCTGCCGGTTTCGTCGAACCCTGATCTCGAAAGCTGGGCTAAAAGCAGAAGGCACCGGATTGTGTTTCGCGCAAGACAACGCAGTTTCTTGATTAACCCTGACAGATTCGGCTTCAAACCGGACAAAATGCAGGATCTTAGGATATTTGATTGAAGCATATCCAATACATGCACACTTACAAGTGCATGGAATTTAATGCTCCTGCTCACAAGCAGGTGCTGTCAACCTTTACGTCGTACATACAAGCATTAGGCCCATGAGCCAATTCATCACATCCAAATCCGAACTACTTCGTTTGTTTTTCATTCTGTGCAAATGCTGATGAAAAGACTGCTCCACCCTAGTGCCTCCTATGCCTCGATTGACTGTGGCCTTTGCCCTGCCATCCAAGGCATCCGACACCGGGACATGTACTACGTGCTTTGGATTTGTTGGGGCAGAGTTTGCAGGTGCTTTCTTGCTTTCTTAGGGCCTTGGGGCAACAAAGCCTCACCACAGATTGGGAATGCAAGGCATTCAAATATGTTGGAAACTCCATCACGACAAGGAATCCAGGTCAACACACATGTCAACAATCATTGACGATGGTCCTGATGAGGAAACTGGGGTTGCCACCACTCTTGCGTCGGTACCTTGCGGCTTAAATTGCCGCAAGCAGAATTCATGAAGCTGAACTGAGTAAAGCAAGGTCGCAACCAACATCATCAAGCCAGTGACCGGCACTCAGATTGACACAAACATTTGGACCATGTCTAAATATGTATATACAGTATATAGTATAAATATATATATATATACACACGTAGTAAATACATGACATGACGTAACTTAACATAACATTACATACATTCGTTCTTCCACTCAAACTCAAACTACTCGTCTGATCGGCACCGTTGGCAAGATAGACTTACGCACACCCGGAAGTGTTTGATCATTTGCACAAAAGCCTATATATATATATATATCGTCTCCTTGACAGCTTGAATGCTGGATAGTTTGTGCTGTCCAACAGAGCCCGGTAGCAAATTGAAACATGCTTTTGGTGAGCATTCCTGAGCAAAGAGAAGTACAGCAGTCCAAGATGTCCTTTGTGCTTATGGTGATGTTTTCAGTTGCCGTGTGCCTGATGTTTCTGAACTACAGTGCATTTAGCCCTTTTAAGGACAAAGCCCTATCGTCTGTCCTATGCCGAGTGTGTGGGACCGCAGGACACGAAATGGCCTCCTGACTTGAACAATGGCCTCCTGAATATGTCCGGTGTGTTTGATCAGATGAACGTTTGGGGACACCCTGGCCGGGAGGTTTTGACTCCACTTGTCAATCAAGACTCATGTTGCTAGCTGATATGCAGACTTTGCCAGCCAACTGGGTGTTTAGTGTTCTGTTGGTCCCATGTTGTTGTCCGTGAGCTGATGCGAACTGCAGTTGACAAAAGTGTGTGAAGAAGCATCGAGCGCACAACTAGTTTCTTGAAGCTTGGACTGGACACTAAGGTTTGTGTCTCACTACTGGGGCACCTCGTTCCAACACTTTGCCGCAAGTATCCAGAAGCATTCTGAGGCCGTAGTAGAGTCTGGTGCTGAGGCGACTGTGTATGCACAGTTTCATGGAACTTCCTCCTGATTCAGAACACTTCGTTGCTGCCAATGTTTCTTTCTTTGTGCATCAACCTTTCTCGGCCTTCAAACATGGCTCACTGCTCATTGATCACTGAAAGAGAACCGTGCCAAGGCCTCACTATTCTGCAACGGATGTGCCTTATTGGATTTGCAGCTTTAGTGCCAGTCTCAGGGACATTGGTTCATGTTAACCTTGGAGTGGCCTTCCAACTTTATTGACTTGCAAAGAGAATGGACCTGGCAGCCAAGTACACAAGGAGAATGTTTTGAGGATGTCACTCGCATACAACTTGTTGGGTTGCTCCATGAGGCAATAATCAATGGCAGTTGGAAGAAGAGCTGGGCAGTGGATGGCCGCTCGTCCTCCCATGAATCAGAGCAGGGGTGCAATGAGCTTCCATGACGGGACACAATGACAGTGAAGATAATCGAAGGGAGATACACTGGGCAGTTCTGCAGATGTCACCCGACACAGAAGGCTTTGAAACACAGAGACAGAGGAGCACCCAGAGTCAAGGAAAACCAAGTGCTGCAGTTACTTAATTGTTGATTGATTAGTGATATTTTCCTGCAGCTTGCATGCTTAATTAGTGCTTTAGCTTTGCTCCTCCTCCTGCTCCTGCTCCTGCTACTCAGCACACTCACTCACCTCAATCACACAGCTCACTCACCCCTGCTGTCTGTGCCGAAGTGGTAGGTTTCTACCGGGTTTGGCGCACTCCGTGGGTGCACTGGGGTGTACTCACTCACCTGACTCACACAAAAAGACTTCCCACGACTTCCTGAATTCACCGATTCACCTGAATCACACACCTCTCACACAGAGCACTCACTCCTGTACACTTGGGGGGGCTATTCGGTCCTTTTCTTCAAAGGTGAATGAAAGAAGGGCATAGAAAGACTCTCAGTAAACCAGCAGATGCTGCTGTGGAGTTACCAGCAAGGTGCCATCCTTCCAAACCTGAAGCTGTTTGTTTTGGCTCTCAAACATGATATACTGTAATAATAATAGGTTCTTTATGCAGACCAGGCAAGCCCGAAGGACTGAGTGTTGACATGTTGATGCACTGTTGTGGATAGGACCTTGCAGGACCTTGCAGGATTCTGTGACCACCCATGATAGCTTCAGGCAATTTTTTTCAGTTGGGACTGGCTTGCACTCCCTAACATCCTCTTTTCCTCTTGTGAGCACCGTGGCAGAACGTTCATCGTCCGTGGCAGCCTCTGGGATATTCAAGGTAAATGCGATCCTTAAGCCGGGCATACAGTACAAATGAACACCACTTAGTCTTGCCTTGGTAGTACTGCATATGTCCAAAACATGCAGACACGGCCAGCAGATGTTCTGAGGGAACAGTCGTCCTTCTTCATGGCTTTGGCTAGCTGGGACCTCAGCTCCGCCTGCTTTTTCCACCAAGACCAGATCAGCATCAAATAGTCAAGTGCAGAAAGGGCACAATGGTGTTTGCGTTCAATTCAACTACGCATGGAGAATTTGTATTCGTACCAGCAGTGGATCTTGCCATAGTAGACCAGCCGTTCAGGTCACAACTGTGTCGTGGCCTCGGCTCCTGCCGCAGTACCAACTTGTGTTGTTTGTTCTTCGGATTGGGCATAGGCACTGCGACGCTTTTTCCGAGCTGAGGTTGGTACTGCCATGGTGTTGGATGACGAGGCTGTCACAGTGAGTGATTTTGCCAGACGAAGCTGCTCGCGAAAGATGCACGGAGACTTGCAAGGCATTCTGTTCTTAGACTTTTGGGCCCTGTTATTCAATTACCTTCCTTTCTTCCTACCTTCACGTCCAGGCTTGCGCACCCCGCGTGAGTCATGAATACAACATGGCTGCAGAGTTCGATTCCGGATCGCGACGAGGGGCACCTTTTGCCCTCAAAGTGACTCCTCTTATCTCTTCTCTCTTTGGCCATGCAGGCGTTGCCTTTGACCCGTGCATGGTGCCTCTTTGAGGTTTTGCAAACCATGATCATCAGGCCTGGTGAGCTGACGCGATGGTAAGCAAGTTAGTCTGAAGACATGCCCCCCAAGAGCGAAACAAGCAGACGACCTGCAACAATGTGTATTATTTAATAGTAGCTGCACACATGCCAAGATTTTGGGCAAAGCGACAATTTTGTCGGATAATGTCAAATTTCACAGGATCGGAATTACAGATATAGACGCAAACGCAGTCTTGAAAGGTTCGTGTAAGAATCTATCTGTGACCCCAGACTCAACGGGTATCACCCGCATCAAACAGACTTTTTTGCTGCAAGACCAGTGTTGTCATTGCTGTAACAAACCAGGGAAGATACCTATTGCATCATGCAGTTGTCCAAGGAACTTACATAGATCACTTCTGTAGGTACACCGGTCCAGTTTTGACTTGATCCTGGGCTTTGTGCCATCACACTGTGCTAAGCATCGAAACGAAAGGTCCATGAAGTCCCCAAGTGCAAATCCAGTTCCTTCGCACTTTCGCGACCTGGCGCACTTTCGTATCTTCTTTCTTTGCAGGCGAGAGAACTTTAAGGGCTTGTACCTGTGCACCACCACAGGTGTTTTGCAAAAAGGCGCAGCCGGATCGAGCTGAAGGGAGCTGGATGAAGGTGTTTGATTAAACAAAACGCACATGATCGGATTGTGTGTGATGTACAGGGATGCACAGGGATGCCTGTGGTTTGGCACGGATTGCATGGTTTACTGTAGGTCTATGACACCCAGGGAGGAGTCTTTGCAAGACTAAACGGCCAGTGCTTTGCCCAACAACCATGCACTGCATAAGCAAAGCTCCATTCTCGGTGTCCACGTTGCTTCCTCCATTTCGTGCTAATGTCGCAGTCCGACCTACACTAAAGGTGGAAACTCTTGCCATTGCTATATACATTATGCATATATATATATACATATTATATGATATAATATAGTATTAAAATAGGCGGGCTTGTCCAAGGACATAATACTTGGCAGACAAGTTATATAGAACTCGGCGTAAAGTTGCATGAAAAAGGACAAACACTGCATGATGATATTCAAATCTTATATTATGAACAAACCTCTGGGAACTTTTGGCACAGAATCGAACAACAAGGACATAGCTCCAGACATTTCTCACATGTTTGCCGTGTGTTTGCGAGGCAAGTCCGGGGTGGACCTCCCGATGCGCATCGCAGAGCGCTTAGCCAAGCTTCGCTTGGAGGATGCAACAGCCTCAGTGTGGACCCCAAGGAAGGGTTCACTTGGTTCACTTTGCTGTGGCAGGCAAGGATCCTGCAGCGGATGCGCATTCTATTTCCGCATTTCTAGCGTTCTGCACCCGCAGATGAGAGAATCACGAGTTTTTTTTCCTTTTTTTTTCTTCTCAAGTTGAAGTTGAAGCGACCGGTTGGGATACATATCCCTCAGCGGCAACCGACCCGTTCTGTCAGGTATTTGTTCTGTTGGGAGCTCCTTATCTATGTCAAGCCAAACCCACGAATTGCCAGTGTAGACAGCTGGACTTTAAACTACTAACAGATGGACTGACAGTATGAGTAGATGAGAGGAACGAGGGAGTGAGTGCACCGAAAAAGGGGAGCGGGTGTTTGTATGGGTTGTCCATTGAGATCAACATACTGTGGTTCACTTTGTCCAGCATCGTTTAGATTCCTTTGGCTGCAGCGACTTTTCTTCTTGTCTTTGTTGCAGGGTAGATAGGTCAATGACTTGTCCTATCTTGTGCTAGTTTTGTTCTCTTCCATCTAATAATTGTGCTTGGGCAAATGATGCTACCGTGTATGGGCACGCCGAGGTGCAGAAGGAGCCGAGTTGTGGCGCCGTGTTTGTATGGGCCATTTGAAAAGACACATAGAAAAGGTGTTCCTGTGCGATGTATGCGTATCTGAGGATAACCCTCCACAATTGGTGTGAACAACGGACCACGCCGCCTGTTTTGTGTATAGGTCCTTAGCAGTTGGGAGTTCTAGGCTGGACTTGGAATAAGGTAGGGACATACTGGATTCAGACCCCGGTTCCTCTTTCCCTTTTTCGTTCAAGGATGGGCAGGCATTTATAGGCGTTTTACGTTTGAATTATATACAGCACATCGATAGATTCTACTCTTCCCGAACCCATCAGAACCCTAAAAATCTTGGACAAGCAAGACTAGATTCTTTGTACCAGTCCTGGAAGGTTGTGAACTTGTTTCAAGTACCTCTCATGTAGCAATGAAACAGCAGGTGCCTGGTAGTGTCACCATGTCTTTGTGTGCCTGTCACAGGTCGAGTGTCCAACGAGTGGCAGTCGTATTCGGGCCGAAAGCAGTCGTGTTTTGGAAATGAACCGAAAAACATCGGAGCTCCATCCCACCCTGCACTGCGCAAACCCACCTGTTGGAGAGATGGAAGACGGGACCAGAACGTGAAATAGAAGAATTTGAATGTGCAAGGAAACCTCAAAACACGGGATACGATGGAATCGGACCCGGGATTCACTCCGCCAGCACCCGTCTGATTTAGAAGACTCTCCAAGTGAAGGTCAGTTTCCCCTAGGGCACCAGGTCCTAGATTTATGGCCAACACAAATGTCGTCCCTCTTTTGGTATTCCACTGGCTTGGTAGGACAAAGAGATGATCAGCAAGTTGGTCTCCGAGATGCCCGGCGGCTTCCAAGCAATGAATGCCTACCTGAAGCGAAACATCGCGGAGGCGTGGCTTGTGGCGGTGGTCGAAGCTGGTGTCGAACAACATGGAGTGTGGGTCAAACCAGCCCACGCAGGGTCCACTAATGGAAGGCAATAGAGTGATGCTGCGAGCAAGGTTCACTAGTGAGCCTTGTTCAGCCAAGGTTGGTGGCAGATGTTGCTTGAATTTGTTTTGCTCAGCCAATCATTGATAGCCAATCAGCCTACCCGGCAAAGGCACTTCGAACGATGCAGGTGCGGCGGGGAACATATTCTGTTTGCAGTTTCTTGATGATCAGAAGGAAAACAACTTATATAATTAAGTCAGAGCAAGGGACGCGGCGGAAGAGATACTTCTTATTCTTGCTTTGACAGCTACTGCACTTTGGCGGCTGCAAGTTGTGCTTGTGCACCGTCGTGGTTTGGATAGCTCGGTGAGTTCTTTCATGTTTGGGCTTGATGCTCAATGGCAGGTGTTGTTTCAAGCCATGTGAGGGTTGCCATGTCCTGCCTCAGGTGGTGTTCACCACTGAGTTGAAGAATTTGCTTACAACGCTGGACACTGCTCAACTAGAGCACCAGCTTGAAGGTTTGGAAGACTCACCGAGTCCCAGTCTCAGTATGCCACCCCGTTGCACTCAAAACCCAGTGGGTGATGAACTTGGACAACGAACGAGGCTTTTGTGAAGTGGCGATTGCGATGGAGGAAGGCGCAATGAGACACTTGCCATATTTCATTTCTTCATATTTCTTCTGTTCATTTTGTGTCTAGAGCGATAAACAAAACTCACTCAGCCCAAAAACAACCCAAAGTCAAAGTCACACAAGGGACACACACTCAACAAAGACAGAGATAGTTGCACGGGATCAGAGTTTTGTTTTGGCGGACTTTCCTTTTGCAGTGGGTAGCAATGCCCAAGACGTTTCCTTGTGAATTTGCGAAAGCTTCAATGGAGCTGAAATGCTTGAAGGTGACGAAGATGAGGACGAGCCTCTTCCAGAAACTGTTCACTGTTGAGGCCGTGAAATGCAGACTTGACACCGCAATGATGAAACACGGGCTTCATGGGTACTATTGTTATGTGCAGAATGCTGTTCAAGCTTCATCGAGCATGCAGCTTAGCACAAGTCAAGCTTCAGGCTAAGCTGTTTCAGACGGGACCTTTCAGGCTAAGCTGTCGTGTGCCTGAAGCATTCCTGAGGAGTCAGGCTGCATTTTTTTGAATTCATGCCCATCCAGGGTGTTGCTGAAGAACCCTTGGCACATCCAGTTGCAATCCTTTGTGAATGTCGTGACAGCCCTACTATCAAAAGACGCACTCATGCAGTATCACATGAGAGCCAAAGAACCAACCAGCCGCATATCAAAGTATCTGGCAAAATCAGCTAGCCAGCCACCTATCAAGGTATCTGACGGCTGCGGAAGCCTCGCCTCCACTATCCGGCACCTGGTGAAAAAAGGTCAGTAAGTTCGGCTGCCGGCCCCAAAATGCAGGTGTAGAAAAAAAAACAATATATATCTATATAATTTCTATATAAACACAGAAATGGCGTAAAAGCTGCAAGAGACATTTGCACAAAAGGACGAATTAGTCTTGTTTGAATGGCGTGGTCCATCAATCATCAACTCAGCTGATTCTGGTGAAATGGTTTCATGTACCGACATCTCAACAATTTCGGGCTGTTTCTCATGTGCCATTCTTTCAATTCCCTTTGATGCCTTAGCCCTATGACGCATATCGACGTCAGCTCTTTTTGCGGCCTTCGATCAATAGATCTGGCTATGAGAGTCTCACCTTAGCGTCATTTTCGGGTTGGATGTCGAAGTTCTGCCACAGCCTGCTGTCCCCAAAGACGCCACAAACGGACGAGATTTTGAGACAGCAAGTGAAGGTAGTAATTACAATTGCTTTATTTTGGGATCAAAGCTGCAGTCTTGGACATCCAAACTTTTTTTTGAGTCTGTTTGCTTCGGCCAACATTTGGTTGGCCACTGGCGATGCCCTGACCCAGCGAAGTTGGACTGCTCAAACGTAGCACACGAACCCTGCCGGTTGGCCGAGACCACTCCGAGAGGAACGCGATCGGATTGTGGTGTCCACCCACTGAAGCCACAGCCCAACTTCGGCATCGGTCATTCAGCCCATTGGCTGTTTTCAACAGGTCTCTGCATAGCCCGAAAGGACAGCATGAGAGCCAAAGAGGCGCCTGACATCGCAAGTTTTCGCTGAGAGACGAGACCATCCCGAAACCTCGTGTTATGGGAGGTCCTTTTTGAGCCCCTCTGACCGTTAAAGATATCAACGTGCTGAGGATGGGGAAGGCTTTCTCCAGAGCCTCAAAGATGTGCGGGCCTCATTGCGTTTTCTTTTCCCGATCTTCAAGATCTATCCTTTCCAAAGAAAGTGGCCAATCCTTGAAATCTATGTTGAATGCGCTCGGCATTGCCAGCCGGTTTGGTACACAAACTGAGCAGGCGTTGGCTGCTGCCAACCTGAAGCGGGACGCTCAGAACAAGGCCTGGATTCGTTGAGCCGAATTCGGACATAGCTCTCGCTTCGCTCCTGGGAGGCGGTGTCCTGGTGTCAGAACCAGGGTGCAGCCTCCCTTTGGGAAGTGCTGGAGGCTATGGCAGCTATGGGCTCTATATTTCTTTTCGACAGTGTTGTTTTGTGGATGCTTGGCACAGGAGAATGAGGTTTCTGCAGCCAGCATGCATGCAGCCAACATGCAAAATTAACGCGGTCGACTCATTCGACTTCCAGTTACATGCAGAGCAACTTGCTGGAGGCCTTCGACGAGTTTGCGAGCGAGATGGGTCTGAAGCCCTTAGAGAAGCGGCGCATTGAGAAGGCCTAGTGGATTGATATCTCCAGTTGTTTCTCAAACAATGGGCAATTGGCGCATCTAAGACAATTTCAGTACTGAGCAACAAGCTCTCTGGGAATTTTGCCGAATGGCAACTTTGGATGATGAAGGTAATGGTAGTGGCAATGTCCTACAGTTGAGCTAAACTTACGCCTGCAATCAACTCGGAATTCCTTCCAAGATGGCTCGGATTCCTGTGCCAGGCCATCAACGCTGCGATTGAAAGAGATGGCGGTGCAAGTGGAGTAGCAGCGAGCCCTGCCCCGCGGGCAGACCCGGCAGCTCAGGCAGAGATGATCAAATTATGATGAGACTCATGTTGTGGTGCAGGACTCCGAACTGCGGGATGTGTGTTAGTGTTCTTCATGTGGACAACAGTTTGGCATGAGAACAAATGATGTGAGGCCAAGTTAAGGCTTGCCACCTTGATGACCTGTTGGTCTGGTCTCCTTTGGTAGAACGATTTCACTTGGTTCTGTTCAGGCCAGAGCGCGTTTGGCCGCGGCGCAGAACAGTGGTTCGGCCGGAGAGCTCCGGCAGGCATCTTCCGGGAGAACAATGTCAGGGACGGGAACCACTTTGTTAGCGACGATCAAGTAAGGGCATGTAGGGGCCAGAAATTGGACAAGTGATGATTCTCAGTGCTTGTTTGTGTTTTGTCACAATATAAATATATATATATAATTATATATATATATAGTATTATATATGTGATAGGATTAGCGATGCAGAGCTGAAGGATGAACTGGGTGTGGGTTTTGAGCTGAAACCTGCGTCGAAGCAAATTCAGGGCTAAAATCGAATGTGCAGTTGAGGAGTACATTCTGGTCCAAGATGCATGTCAACGCCACTATGTGCTACTGATGTTCCATAGATTCCCATCCCATCCTGGCTCATGAGGATGTGAGTTGTTGGTCGCTTAGTCTTTGCTGCCACTGTTAGCATAATATGCTGTCATCTCTGGGGAGCTTTTCCCCGTTGTGGGGTGCGTGGTGGGATCGTTGCTGAGAAGATGATCTTCGTTGTGGGGTGGCAAGCATGTTGACGTTGGTTGCGCTGGCTGCGAACAGGATACGATATCGGTTTGCACACAAAAAGGACTTGAAAGGAGGTTTGTTTGAGCATGAGGGTTGGGATAATTCAAGGCTCATGAAGCTGTGGCGAAAGGCATCGCCACAAAATCCCTGCAGAATGTGTATATATATATACACATATTATATATATATGTATTATTTCCAAGGCAACCGCTTTTGCTCGCGCGGTTGATAGAAAGATACTGTATGCAGAGCCGAGATTGGGGTCATGGTCATCCCTCATTCTTGTACAAAATTTGCCAACACCTTCAGCAAGCAGACGTTTGAAAAGCGGATCCTCTGACGGTACGATTCAGGTGGCCGGGCCCAATATTTGCCCCTCCCAAAAAGTATCCAGCTTGCCATGTAAGTGGACATGAAAAGATTTGCTAGCTATACAGCCACCCCGTTCTTGGGTCCACAATGTCTTGACTGTTGCAAGTTTCATGGATATTTGCTTCTCCCACAGTTCAACATGAACCGCTCTAGGCCCTTGCTGCTGCTCGTAGCTGTGGCTTGAAGCCAGCAGAGCTTGCTCAGGTTGGAAATTCAGGGTGGAAGATGGTGGAAGGTCCTTCCGGTGCACTTTACCCAGGGGAATAAGATCAACACGTTCGGCATGTACGCGACCTCGCTTGGCACCTGACCATTGCTGGTCTCGTTGCCATATTTTTGATCCAAAAACACCTGCTGAATGCTGAGCAGAGGCTGAAGCTGCCCTAGCATGGGCAGAGGCCACGGAGGCCAGCAAGTCACGTTCGCTGGTCTCTCTTTTTGTCGTTCCTTCAAACAGTCTTGTGCAACAGTGTGCGTGATTGTGTCCAAGCAGGTGGGTGCTGTTTTCTCTACAGCTAAGTTATTGATGAAGCAACTGATACAGTGAAACTTGTCCAGGACAATCTCTTCTTTTGGGGGGGAAAAGAACTTGGAATTGGACTAACAGTGACAAACAGGCTGAATATGCAGAGTTGTGGCTAACATGTTGCAGCCTTATAAAAGGTATCGGCATGGGGCTAATAAACACCCGCAACACAAACTCATCATCTTCAATCGGATTTTGGTTGGGTTGCGGGGTTGGGGGTGTGGGGGGGTTCCGGGGCTCGTTGATTCACTGGCTCTTTCAACTTGACCCTTCCCCCCTTGCAACTTTGTGCATCCATCAGTCACTGTCGAGGCACCTACTCTGGCGTAGTTTGGCAGTTTGGCAGTTAGCTATAAACCCTGGTTAGTTTGGAAAGCTCACTGCGCCAGTTAGCTTTGTGACTCTGCCCGTGGAGCCCAAGATCTATTTGCAATCAAAGCTGTGGTGATCACAACGTTGTTGCGTCCTGTCCATGTAATTATTAGACGCAAGATGTCTATGTATTAGTCGAGCTTTTTTATGAATTAACCACCAAGAGAGGAGTTTCTTCAACACTTCAAGGGCACCAG